GAAATAAAGTGGAGTGGACGCCCTCGGGCGGGGACAACTGTCAAGGAAGGTGCCATATGTGTTTCCTTTGTCCGGCGAGACGGAATGCCGCATCTCCACCGGTCGACAGTCCCAGCCGATGCAAGCAACCCGGACTTCGACGAACGAGGTGGTCAGGGTGCAGTTTGCGAGGGTTTTATCTTCTAACCTATATGGATAGTATCCTGGCCCAGGGTTGTATAAGAGGCTCGCGGCGGTCTCTCGGCCCTTGCAAAGAGGGCCCCGGGGACGTATGTAGCCAATATCACCCCATTTGAATTGCGTATGACAACCTTCGTCTGAATCTTGCACCAGATAAGTGCCGTTCCATGTCTGCTCCGAGGATGCACATGCGTCCATTATAACTTTGGTCAAGTTGCTGCCAGATACTTGTATAGCGCAGTCCGTTTTGAGGTATGATGTTTCGATAGCGAAGGTGGAGTTATGTTCTTGAGGGACGTTGGCCACGGGAATGCCAAGAAGGCTGGCATAAACCAGGGAACTTGGATCGTCATCGACGGATATCCAATCGTTACCTGGATCCCTTTGGGGATTCTGTGGCAAATGTTCAATCATGGGTATTTTGATGTTGCCCCAGGAGTCGAGACTCGAGTTCTTGACTTGAGCGGATGCTCCAACTGAACCATAGAACAGAGCATTGATAGGGACTTCCTCGCCATAAGTGCTAAGTTCCATAAGCCGACCGGGGAGAGTAACTGAGGTTGTCATATACGACATGTTCGTAACAGATTCAATCGCTTCTGGATTCTGCAGAACAACTCGGAGAGTAGCCTGGCCTCCAAGGGGTGAAAGCGACCACATAAGCGTCAGGATAAGTCCGACGATCCCGACCCTTCTCGAGTCGATCATCGTGGTTACTGTGCCAGTCATTGTGGTAGATCCGAAAAGGTTGTCCAAGAATCCGATATGTTCTCCGCGCTGCAGTCTCCAGTGTGCGTAACTCTTGATGGTTTTACCCACAATGAAAGCGAACACTAATGGCATTATGGTTGGGCCCTTTTGAATGTTAGATGTGAAAGCGTGATGATAACTTTGGATTATTAAGGATGTCGTACCAGCCGAGAGAATTCGTAAACAAATTGCCATATAGATGGTAGGCTTTTAACCTCTCGACCGCTGTAGCCGAAGAGGAACCCGATGTAGGCAATGATGACAGCTACCATCAGGATGCAAAGCGCGTTGAGAAGTATCCCCATGGGCTTTGACGATTCGCTCTGGACTTTCTGAGACGGCCATTGCAGCAGCGTTGACTTGATTCTGCCTGGTCGCGGAGGCGCCTCGCTGCTGTCTTCGCCCAAAGTCCTCGCGGCTGGCCGGTCTCGGGAAATGTCGGGCCCCGCGTCTTCTGACGTGACCGAGGAAGGCGGCCTCGAGTTGGTGTTCGCTCCGAGTTCCCGTGGGGTCGTCATTGCCAAAGCATGTGCGGATTAATCGGTCGGAGTGGATCGAGGGCGAATACGCCGCGAACGCGAAGGCAGGTCTGTGTAGATGCTAACGCGAAAACCTGTCTCGCTCCTATTTCCTGGAAGCTCTCGAGTTTTGTTAGGAGGGTGCGGGTCCCGCAAGGGTAGTCTTCGCCTCGTCAAAGGGTTCTCAACCAGTGGAAGGCGGCGATTTGGTGTTGGGCGGTTAAGTTTAGCTGTTGGTTCGAGCGGCACAGCTTCCTGCCAAGCCGTGCCAAGCTCGGCTCTGTTGGTTCGCATGGCGCAGCTTCTTGCCAGGTTGCTTTCCAGTGAGTGAATGGACAACTGATTTCTAGACAGGGACACCTGTTGCGACGGACGCGTTAAGGTGTTCAGCCTGACACGCTCAGTAAGCTGCAGCTACAGCAGACAGACATTATAGACTAATATTAATATCAGTCATAATCATAAGTCTAGATATTACATATAGAAAGAGGATAGCGATATTAGTTAGGCAGATTAGTATTTATAGGGACACTACCTATCTCTATAGCTTAGTAGAATCCCTATTCTAAGATCTATAGATATATCTAAGAATCCTTATAAAGGATAGATTAGTAGTTAGGTTAGTAATAACTAGTAAAGATATAGTTATTATAGTTAGCTATCTAATAGTAGGGTCTGCTAATAGAAGCTAGGGATTAATACGTTCTAATAGTACACTAAGTTTTAGTCTAAATTATAAGTTATAAGCTAATAGTAGATTAGATCTTTAGAAACTAAGGTAATTAGTCTTAGGCTTAATAAGTAATTTATAGTAAAAGTAAGCTAAGAGTATCTTAAGGATAAATACTAAGTTAATTACTAAAGAGCTATAGAAGTTTAACTATAAACTAAGCTTAAAGTTATATTATATATAAATCTTAAATAGTTTTATTATTCTCTTTATTAATTTCTAACTAAGTATTAATAAGCATTTAGTAGTTATTAGTAAGTACTTAGTAGTTCTTATTAAGCGTTTAGTAATCTATATTATTTACTTAGTCTTATTTTATTACTATATAACTTATTTTATAGTTCTTTTATTTTAAGTAAGTCCTTATTATTCTTATAATCCTATAGTATAAATATCTTATTATAGCTACTTAATACTTAAGTAAGTTATTTAGCTATTATCCTTATTTATAAGTTATAATATTAAGTTCTAATAGTTAGGAGTCTAATCCTTAAACTAAATTTAGTTTAATAATTAGTTAGGATTAGTTAAAAAAATCTATATATAGTCCTAGTTTCTTATTAGAAAAAGTATAACACTACTTAGTTATTCTATGCTGGAATGCGTTAAGATACAGCTATCTATGTATAGCTATTAGCCTAACCTAACTAGAGCCCTACTAGCTAACCTCTACCTAACTTAGAAATCTCAACGCGTTCCCTAAAGCCTCTAATTAGCTAGTATTAACTTTAGTGTCTCCACCTTTAATTGAAATCTTAATGCGTTCTGAAATAAAACCTCTTCTCCTAACTGATAGCTTATGAACTAGAACGAAGAGTATATTAATAGCTTCTATTATAGAGAGATAAAAAAGAAGAAGAAGAAAAGTAAATAAGAAAGAGAAAAGAAAAAATAGGTTTAAGGAAGTAATAATTAAGAAGAAGAAAATAAGTAGAAAAAAAAAAACCGCTTTATAGTATACTTCTATTATTAAAGAAGACTAGTTAAATTAGTTTATAGTAAAAGATAGCTTTCTTATCTCCTCTTCTATTATTACTGCAACTTAAGCCTATAGTATTATATAGCTTAACAGATAAGTAATACTAGCGCCTAAAAGCTTTATAACTGTATTTTAATAAGCTTAAGCTAGTCCTTATTTGCTAGCCTTATAGCTACACTTTAAAGCTATTTAAGGAGCGTATAAGCTACTACCTAGCTGAGAAGTATAAGGTTCCTAAGCTATAATACTATAGGCTAGGCGCTCTAGTAAAATCCCTATAGCTAGGGGACCTAAATAATGTTACTTTCTATCCTAATAGCTTCTTACTGCATAAAGCGCTAATAGTTACTTATAGCTATACCTACTGCTATTATAGCTACTAGATAGTAAGTAATAACTTAATATACTGCTATATTATAAAATTATATAGTATTAAAGGCTTATAAAAGATAGATAGCTAGTAATAAAACTATATCTATAGTAATATCTTACTATAGAGCTAGTTGCAAAATAATGCGTAAGGCTTTTAGATAGCCTAACATCACGTCCACGATGGCTAACATACTGGCAACGACGGCTTCAAGTAGAAGCCGTTGAAATCCTCACCAAAAAATAAGTGGGTCCGTGCAGACAGGGGGTAGAAGCCGTTGTTTTCCAGTAGTGAAGAAGCCGTTGAGATTTCCCGCAGTAAAATACACAAAAGTAGGATGCAATGAAAGCTTGAATGAAGGCAATTATAACCATCTAGTTCTCAGTTCGATAATCAGCAAGGTGAGTCTAGAAATCGATGAATAGCGTAGTTGATGTTTTCGTGATGCGGTCCCAAACCCCACATTAACTAGCCAATCACATAACAGGGATATCAGCCAGGCCAGAAAGCCCGACCGACTGATGGAACGCAGTCAGGGAGGAAAGTAGATCAAGGAGAAAGTATACGGAATTAAGGGGCAGGAAGGTAAGGTTATAAAGAGAGGACAGGAGGAATCATTTAATAGTAGTAGACCAAAGCAAGCCATCCGTATAGGTAAACATGGAGCCATTCGTCCACAACGCGCAGTATTCCATTCTAACATACTGGCAACGACGGCTTCAAGTAGAAGCCGTTGAAATCCTCACCAAAAAATAAGTGGGTCCGTGCAGACAGGGGGTAGAAGCCGTTGTTTTCCAGTAGTGAAGAAGCCGTTGAGATTTCCCGCAGTAAAATACACAAAAGTAGGATGCAATGAAAGCTTGAATGAAGGCAATTATAACCATCTAGTTCTCAGTTCGATAATCAGCAAGGTGAGTCTAGAAATCGATGAATAGCGTAGTTGATGTTTTCGTGATGCGGTCCCAAACCCCACATTAACTAGCCAATCACATAACAGGGATATCAGCCAGGCCAGAAAGCCCGACCGACTGATGGAACGCAGTCAGGGAGGAAAGTAGATCAAGGAGAAAGTATACGGAATTAAGGGGCAGGAAGGTAAGGTTATAAAGAGAGGACAGGAGGAATCATTTAATAGTAGTAGACCAAAGCAAGCCATCCGTATAGGTAAACATGGAGCCATTCGTCCACAACGCGCAGTATTCCATTCTGATATGCACATCATGTCAGTATGCAGTAGTAGCGAACGAAGTCACAGCACATCTGCGGAACCACCATCGGTCAATCACCGCCAAGGCCAGGGGAAAAGTGGCTAAATCGGTCAGCAACATTCCCAGCATCATCCGCAGCCAGGCCGATTTGCAGTCGTTCCAATACCCAGACCCCACGGTTGAGCCAATTGCTGATATTGCACCACCCCGGGCGGACGGTTTACGTTGCCACGCGTGCCGTTATATTTGCCGCCGCGTGCGAAATATGCAGGAGCATTGTCGGGTAGAACACAGATGGGAGAATGATTGGCACAAGGGGGGTGATGTTCGCAAGAAAGCCACCGCAGTCAGGGATTTACCGTGGACAACAGGGGTGCCGTGCCAGCGGTTTTTCTTAACACGGGCCGCGAGCGGATGGTTCGAGGTGGCCCAGGGACAGATAGCCGACGAGTCTCTGCAAGGCGCTCCGAGTAGAAGCCCGGCTCAACAGGCGGTGGACCGCGTTCGAGATCTCCGGAAAGTCCAAGCAGAACGTGTGAAGACGAGTCACGATGAGCTGATCCGCGTCGCCAACGAAAGACTCGAGCCCAGCCCGTGGCTGGCCCGTGTAGGATGGGCGGTGCACTTAAAAGGGCTCAGTGCCAGCGCACTCTTTAACACAACAGCTCCCATCAATGAAGATGAGGTCGTGCTTCAGGCGATGTGGGCGACGGTCGACCGCGTGCTGGACCAGGCTCGAGCAACGTCTGCTCCCAATACCGTCGGGCTGGCCGTGCTGTTCGAGGCGCAGCGTACAGAAGCGCACGTCAAACCAAGGAGGCCGTTCGACAACCGCATGGAGGACGACACGTGGGCGAGATATAAGGGCGTGTGGCTAAGTCTGTTGTGCGTCTGGTTCCGCACGCAGGAAATGGACGACGACAAGCGGCCGCCGTATAAACTGACGTCGTCACAGGGAGAGGCGTGGGACTTTTTCGAGCAGATGGCGGAAGCAGCCAGCACGGGGACGGGGCATCAAACGCAGGAGAAGCTGGAACGCGCAGCACTCGACATGCTCATCAGCATGCTGGACCACCAGCTGAAGGGCGGAGACTACAGCAGTGCTCTTCTCAGCGCTCTCGCGGTGATGGGTATTGCCGAGAATGGCGGCTGGGTTCAGATCACGGACTACACGACGAAGTACTCAGCCGTCATCAAGATAGCGCGCATGTTAGTGATCCATCAGGCTTACGTTGAGCGCCACGACGAGGTTGCCGAGCTGGGAAAGTCTCTGGGTAACGATGAAGTAGAGGACGCAGCGCAGAGTTTGTTCCAGCACACGCGGGCAAAAGTGCGGCGGTTCATGACGCGGACGACGGGCGACAAGGATGCGGAGCCGACACCGATGGACTGGATTCTCGAGACGCGGACGTACGGGATGCACATCCAATATAACACAGCAGCGGCTGGTGTCATCGACTGGGTCGGTGATCGCGTGTCATACAGGCGGGTACGGTTCACGATGGGGCAGCTGTCGGACGCACTACATGAGCTGGTCCGAGAGACGCGGGAGCTGCTCGCAGAGCTGACGGCGACGGAGGATTCGGGTTCGGCAGACGGTCCCGAAAGCGATGTTCAGTCACAACTGCCAGCCATCCCATGGTCGTCAATCGAAGACGACCACAGCGAGACAAAGCCCGGGTACTCGTTTCTCGCCGACGACCGCAACAGCTGGGTTTCTGCCGGGGACGGATGGCTGTTCATGCGGCTGGCGCGGTCACCCGCCGCTGCAGAACGCTGGGGACTGAGCAGCAGCATGGGCAACGGTCGCGGGGCGACAGACCGGCCATTCCAGCCGTCAGCCGTGCAGGAGTTTGGTAGGACGTTTGAACGACTCCGCGAGCGACTGTGGATGCTTCTGCACATGCTCGGCGGACAGCCGGCGCGGGCGAGCGAGCTTGCAGGTCTGCGGACGGTCAACACGGTCAACGGGGGCGTCCGCAACATCATGGTGCACGACAAAATGTTGTGCTTCATCACAGCGTACCACAAAGGTTACCGGACGACCGGGCAGGCGAAGGTGATCCACCGATATCTCCCGAGGGAGGTCGGCGAGCTTATCATATGGTATCTTTGGCTCATCTTGCCGTTCTGGCAGGAGGTGCAGGGCATCATGCACGAGGCCAGCGGGTACAGCGCGTTCATATGGGCAGACGACATCATCCGGCAGAGGGACTCGGAAGCCAGCAGCGCGGCGGCAGGATTAGAAGAGCAAAGTGGCAATAACATGGATATCGGGGATGGCAACAATCACAGTACAAATGAAGATGAGGCTGGTGATGAGAGCACAAGTGTGGGCGACTGGACGTGGAAAGAGGAGCGAACGTGGACGACAGACAGAGCGCGGCGGATCATGCAGCGGACCAGCATGAGACTGCTGGGATGCCAGGTCAACGCCAGCATGTGGCGACACATCGCCATCGGCATCGCCAACCGCTACTTGAACGAGTCGTTCGGCCGGCCGGGCGGAGACGATGACGGCGTGGGATCGGAAGAGGGGACGGACGGGGTCGAGGACAGCCCGTGGGACTTGCAGGCGGGGCACAGCACGCGGATGGCGGGCATGATCTACGCGCGAGAGCTCATGCAGTTCGGCAGCGGTCTCGCGGCGAGGCAGCAACAGTTCCGCCGAGTCAGCCGTCAGTGGCACAGGTTTCTGGGCTTCGGCGCCGAGGATTCGGAGTCGAAATGGGGTTCCGCGGGCTGCAAGAGGAAAAAGACGGAGGCGTACGAAGGGCCACGGCTCGCAGCCAGGCTCCGACGATTTGAGAAGCTGAGGAGAATCGACTTGGAGGGCCAGCTGCGGCAGATGACGGGGGACGACTCGGCGATGTTCCGCGGAAACCAGAGAGAAGCGGTGCTCGCCATCACCAGCGGGCACACGCCGATCGTGCAGGTGATGGGGACGGGCGGTGGCAAGAGCGTCTCGTTCATGCTGCCGGCATTCTGCTAACATCACGTCCACGATGGCTGACGTCGGAAGCCATTGAACGCCCCACCATGGAATTAGGTGGGTCCGTTGAGACAAGGGCGGAAACCGTTGTTCACAGCAAGGTGGAAGCCGTTGAGATTTTCCGTAGTAAAATAGGTAAAAGTAGCATGCAATTAAAGCCACAATCGGTATAATTATAGGAACCCAGTTCTAACATCACGTCCACGATGGCTTCAAGTAGAAGCCGTTGAAATCCTCACCAAAAAATAAGTGGGTCCGTGCAGACAGGGGGTAGAAGCCGTTGTTTTCCAGTAGTGAAGAAGCCGTTGAGATTTCCCGCAGTAAAATACACAAAAGTAGGATGCAATGAAAGCTTGAATGAAGGCAATTATAACCATCTAGTTCTCAGTTCGATAATCAGCAAGGTGAGTCTAGAAATCGATGAATAGCGTAGTTGATGTTTTCGTGATGCGGTCCCAAACCCCACATTAACTAGCCAATCACATAACAGGGATATCAGCCAGGCCAGAAAGCCCGACCGACTGATGGAACGCAGTCAGGGAGGAAAGTAGATCAAGGAGAAAGTATACGGAATTAAGGGGCAGGAAGGTAAGGTTATAAAGAGAGGACAGGAGGAATCATTTAATAGTAGTAGACCAAAGCAAGCCATCCGTATAGGTAAACATGGAGCCATTCGTCCACAACGCGCAGTATTCCATTCTGATATGCACATCATGTCAGTATGCAGTAGTAGCGAACGAAGTCACAGCACATCTAACATCACGTCCACGATGGCTGACGTCGGAAGCCATTGAACGCCCCACCATGGAATTAGGTGGGTCCGTTGAGACAAGGGCGGAAACCGTTGTTCACAGCAAGGTGGAAGCCGTTGAGATTTTCCGTAGTAAAATAGGTAAAAGTAGCATGCAATTAAAGCCACAATCGGTATAATTATAGGAACCCAGTTCTCAGTGTTTTATTCCGTGATATGAGTCCAGAAATAGGTGAATAGGGTAGTAGATGTTTTTGTGATGTCGTCCGAATCCCCGCATTAACCAGCCAATTATATAACAGGACCATCAGCCAGGCCAGAAAGCCCGACCGAGCGATGGAACGTAGGCAGGGAGGAAAGTAGATCAAGGAGAAAGTATATGGAATTAAGGGGCAGGAAGGTGAGTTTATAAAGAGAGGACAGGAGGAACCAGTCATAAACAGTAGATAGAAGAAAGTAACCAATACATGCCAAAGATGGAGCCATTCGTCCACAACACGCAGTATTCCATTTTGATATGCACATTATGTCAGTACGCCGTATTAGCCAACGAAGCCACGGCGCATTTGCGGAATAACCATCGGTCAATCCCCGCCGAGGCCAGGAGCAAGGTCGCCGGATTAGTCGGCGATATTCCCGGCATCATCCGCAGCCAGGCCGATTTGCAGTCGTTTCAATACCCAGACCCCACGGTCGAGCCAGTTGCCCATATCGCACCGCCCCGGGCGGACGGTTTGCGTTGCCACGCATGCCGTTATGTGTGCCGCCGCGTGCGAAACATGCAGGAGCATTGCCGGGCAGAACACCGGTGGGCGAATGATTGGCAGAAGGGGGGCAATGTGCGCAAGAAAGCCACGGCAGTCAGAGATTTGCCGTGGACAACAGGCGTGCCATGCCAGCGTTTTTTTTTAACACGGGCCGCAAGCGGATGGTTCGAGGTCGGGCGGGGGTTAGGGGTGGCCGTTCAAAGCGAGCCATCGGGGCCGGGGACGGACGACACGGCGTGGTTCGTCACGTTGCACGAGAACCAAGAGAAGCGGTTCGAGGCCGACGCGCGCGAGGAGGTCAGTACAGTGGACGAAAAGTTGGAGCCGAACGGGTGGTTGTACCGCGTCGGGTGGACGAGGGATTTGGAAGGGTTGAACAAGACGCAGTTACAGGAGGCCACGCGACCAATTGAGGATGGCGAGGAGACGTTAGAGGCCATATGGGCCGTGTTCAACAGCGTCGCCGACAAGGCATGCGCAACAGCAGCACCGCACAAGGTCGGGCACGACGTGTTGTTCGAGGCGGAGCGGAAGGAGATCGGCCAGAAGCCGGTGCGGCCATTCGACAACCGCATGGAGGACGACACGTGGCAGCGGTACAAGGAGGTTTGGCGTAAGATGGTGAGCATATGGTTCCGCATGGACGAGTGGCCGGAGCGCGAGCGGCCGCCGTATCGGTTCACCATGCGTCAGGGGTCGTTGTGGGATGCGTTCACCAGCCGTGTCGAGGCGGATGTCGGCAGCAGGCAGGCCGCGCAGGCGGAGGAGGTCGAGAGGATGTGTTTGGACGCCATCATCGCCATCATCGAGGACCCGTACAAGCAGAGCCAAAAGGAGAGCGCGATGATCGGCGCGTTGGCGGTGTTGGGCATCCGCGAGGACGGCGGGTGGCACCAGGCGACGGAGTACACGACGAATTATTCAGCCGTGATCAAGGTGGCCAAGATGTTCGTCGTGTACCAGGCGTGGTTGGAGCGGAAGGACGAGGTGGTGGCGTTGACGGCGACCAAAGGGGCCGAGGCGGCGTACGAAGAGGCCAGCAGCGTGTTCCATTTGGTGCGCGACAAGGTGCGGCGGTTCATGACGCGGATGCCCGGGCGGCCGGACGACGAGCCCAGGGCGATGAATTGGATTTACGACGCGCGCACGTACGGGATGCATATCCGGTTTAACACGGTGGCGCCGGGGATGGTGGATTGGAGCGGCGACCGGATATCGTTCCGGCGGGTGCGGGTGCGGGTGTGCGAGTTGGCCGAGATGTTCCACGGGGTAGCGCAGGAGGCGCGGACGTTGTTGGCGCAGTTGGCGGTGGTGGACGGGGATGGGGATAGGGATAATGATCCCGACAGGGACGGGCACGGCGATGGGTACGGAGGCCGATCAGCGTTAGCAGCAGCGTTGCCCGCCATCAGGTGGGACAGCATGCACGACGACCACAGCCAGGACCGGCCGGGGTATTCGTTTTTACACGACGACCGCAACGAGGCGTGGGTGGGCAAGGGGAAGGGGTGGATCGCACGGCGCATCGCAGAGTCGGAGGCACGGCGGCGGGCGTGGTTAGACCCAACGCGAGGGGCGGCGGCGGCGGCAGTGGCAGCAGCAGCAGCAGCAGCAGCAGGACAGGCGGAGGAGGTCACGTCCAACCGCAGCGATAGCCACCACCCATACCGCGAGAGGACGGTGCAGGCATACAGACAGGCGTTGGAATCGTTCCGGGAGCGGTTGTGGATGTTGATGCACATGGTGGCAGGGCAGCCGGCGCGGGCGCCCGAGTTAGCAGGCATCAGACACAGCAACACGGCCAACGGCGGGGTCAGGAACGTGTTCGCACACGACGGCATGATATGTTTCGTCACGTCGTACCACAAGAATTACCGCCAGACGGGGACGGCCAAGGTGATACACCGGTATTTGCCGCGCGAGGTCGGCGAGTTGTTGGTGTGGTATTTATGGTTAGTGTTGCCGTTTTGGCAGCAGGTAGGAGGCATCATCCATCAGACGGACCGGAAGAGCGCATTTTTATGGGCGGACGACGTGGTTGTAAGGGGCAGGGCGGCGGGCGAGGCGAGCCGTGATAACACCAGGGGCGACGAGCGCCGCAATAACACCAAGGACAACGACGCCCGTGACAACACCGAGGACGACGACGCCCGTGACAACACCATCACAGACGAGAGCGCCAACGCCACCCCCGGCCGGGCGCCGTGGACGGACGAACGGTTGTGGACGTCAGACAAGGCAAGGCGGATCATGCAGCAGCACAGCGAGCGGTTGGTCGGCAGCAAGATCAACATCAGCGGGTGGCGGCACATGGCCGTCGCCATCGCCAACCGGTATTTGAACGAGGCGTTCGGACGGGCAGACGACAAAAACAACGACAACGACGACAACGACGACGACATAGGCGTCGAGGACAGCGCATTGGATTTGCAGGCCGGGCACGGCACGCACGTGGCGGGGATGATATACGGGCGGTTGTACCAGGAGGCACCGTTCGGCACGGCGGCGTTGCGGGACAGGTTCCGGGCCGTCAGCCGGCAGTGGCACCGGTTGTTGGGGTTCGGGGCGGAGGACCGGGGCGGCGGGGCACCCACCAAGCGGCGGCGGACGGCGACGACGGCGGCGGACGAGGAGTTCGAAGGGCAGCGGCGGCGGCGGTTCACGCGGTTGCAGTTAGCCAACGCCGGCGGGCAGTTGCGGCAGATGATGGGGGACCCGCGGGCGGCGTTCCGCGGCCAGCAGGAGCGGGTCATCCGGTCGATCATGCGCGGGGACGACCCGATCGTGCAGGTGACGGGCACGGGCGGCGGCAAGAGTTTGTCGTTCATGTTGCCGGCGTATTGCGCACCGGACGGGGTGACGATCGTCGTGACGCCGTTGGTGGCGTTGCGCACCGACATGGACGCGCGGTGTTCGAGGTCGGGGTTGGCGTCGACAACGTGGCGCGGCGGCGGGCGGGCCAACACGGCCGCAGCAACGGTGGTGTTCGTGACGCCCGAGTCGGCCGTCACGCAGGGATTCCGGGATTTCGTCGGGCGGTTGCAGCGGCGGCAGCAGTTGGACCGGGTGGTGTTGGACGAGTGCCACGTCGTGTTGGATGGGTCGAGGGGGTTCCGGCCGGCGTTGCGGGCGTTGGGGCGGACGGTGCAGGAGTTCGGGGCGCAGTTGGTGTGTTTGACGGCGACGTTGCCGCCGGCGGAGGAGCGGGAGTTTTTCGCCGTGACGGGGATCCGGCAGGAGCGGGTGCGGGTGTTCCGCGAGGCGACGACGCGGAGGAATATCGAGTATGGGGTTGTTGTCGTTGCGTTAGGGTCAGGGGGTGGGGGTCGTGGTCGTGGTCGTGGTGCGGCAAGCCACAGGCGCCGGGCAGAGTCAGGGTTAGGGTTAGGGTCAGGTCGGGAGGGTGAGGACGGCGAGTTGAGCGCCGTCGAGGAGCGCGGTTGCCAGGAGGTCAGGGATTGGTTGCGGCAGCAGCCACGCGG